CCAAGTGAAACCTCCAATTTAGTGTTCTCCCCAGCCCTGATATGAAATTTTATATTCATGGATAATGTTGAGAAAGCTGTGGAACTTTTTGGCTTATATGAAGCTTTTATTGTGGACAGACAAAGCAATGAGTATGTTGAGAAATGTTAAGACAATGTTCTGAGCTAGGCAATGATATAGCAGGCACCATCTAATGTCTTTACACATATTGTATTATTTAGTTTTCTAAGTAACTCTATTCTCGGGCATTGTTTGGTACATCAGGAGGGAAGGTCTAGGGAGTGTTAACAGTGAGAAGTGACAGCAAGAGGTTCCAGCTCTCATATGCTGACCTGTATTCCTACTTTGTCACCTGTTGCATCAGTGTGGACCCACAGATTTAACATCGGGTTATCTTTAGACTTAATAATTCAACCCAGTACTATAAACCTAACAGCAGTTCTTGAGAGTATAGGGAACTCCTAAAAGGGGGCATAGAGCTATTTAGAATCTTCATGAGACTGTAAGCCCAGCTGTGCTTGATCTTTTTCTATAAAGAATAACAGTCTTCCCTTACTTCCCAAAATAACATGTTTCCTATTGGATGTTGTTGTTGTTGACAGCTCTGCTCTGTATTGGGCCTTGTTCTGGCATAGATGTTAGTGCTCACTTAGCACTCGGAGCAGATGTGCCCCACAGCCCCCTCACACTGAGTCTGTCCACCTCGATGGAAATGTGTGATTCTTATCCTGACTCTTTACTTTACTTGACTACCCATAAGCACTTTCTCCATAGGGCCTCACCTTGACTGTGGCCTTCCATCACTCTGTAACATTCATACAGGTCTCCCAGTATTGTCAAGGTCACAACATTCACAGATTGTGACCACCTGGCCTCTCCCACGCACTCATCTATGCAGTCTCACTTCCTTCCGGCTTCTAACTTGCTCCTCTAAGATGCACATGGTCCTGACATTCCACATAAGGAAGAATGTCACTGAATGCACATCAGTTGCAAAGCTTATCACCATCTAGTTTCAAGGCATGTACATTCCTCAGGGGTCCACCTTGTGCCGTCTCTTAGCAAAGTAATGATCAGATGTGAGGTCCTTCCTCGCTAATGTCTGTCTTTGTTTTCCATTCATTCTTGCTAGTTTCTCTGATTAAAGTGTCACCTCGGAGCCAGTTTCTCAGTATTGGTGGAAAAGAAAATACAGTGAAATCTGAGTAAATGAGATAGATGATTTATTTTAGGCATGCATTTTCGAAGTCGTCAAGACCCAGAGAGACAGACACAGGAAACAGATTTTCTGACGTTAGACTCAGGAGAGCTGCCTGCAGGAGTGAGGCTGGGTTACTGCGGAGCATCTGGAGAAGAGATGAGGATGCTAATCAAAGGAATCACAACAGAGCTTCAATGCCCTAAAAATCTATGCTTCTCTGATTTCGCCCCTCCTTCTCCTCTAATCCTTAGCATCTGCTGATCTTTAAGACTGATATGCATACTTTTTAAGTTTATGCTGGGAAAGACATTTAGTGATTTTTAAGATTTCCTAATTCTGCTTGGTAGCATGTTATCTCCCTAGCTAGAATGTGAGCAGTGTGATGGGAAAACTCTTGGTGGATGCTTTTGCATCTGTTGAAGGTAATGACCTAAGAGAGAGTATGTATACACACGGCAGCCATAAGGGAGGGTGTGTGAGACATTACACTTTAAAAGGTACTTCAATTTATGAAGCATTTCATGATTTTGGATAACAAGGAGAGTGGGGGGCACATAAATCTCCCAAGAAAGGGGAGATACAGATCTCTGGTTGAACTGGGGGCTAGTAGGTATGAGAACTTGAGGGATCAGGTTGCAGGGTGGGCGGAGAGAGAGAGTGCTGAGAAAGATGACTGGAAAGGGGGACTTCATGGATAAAAGCTTGAAGTGAGGGAAATGTCCAAGAGTCTACAAGAGTGGTCCCAGCTAAGACTCCTGGCAGCAGTCGATGCATAGCCTGAACCATCCCCTGTGACTGTATTGGTGACCTCCTAGGTTGCCCGTGGAGACTTCATCCAGTGACTGGTTGAGGCAGATTCAGAGACCCATGAGCCAAATATTGGGCCAAGCTCTGGGAGTCCTGCTGAGAAGAGGGGGGAGGGATTATAGGAACCATAGGGTTAGGGACATGAGAGGAAAACTCACAGAAAGCTAGCCTGACTCATGGGAACTCAGAGTCTAAACCAAAAACACCAGTGACCCTACATGGGACCAACCTAGGCCCTGTGAATGTATGTAACAGTTGTGTAGCTTGGTCTATTTGTGGGTTTCTGGCAATGGGAGCAGGGCCTGTCCCTGGTGCTTTGGCTGGCTCTTGGGATTGTCTTGCCCAGCCTGAATGCAATAGGAGGTGTTAGGTCTTATGGAAGCTTGATATGCCATGCTTTGTTGATGACCATGGGAGGCCTGTGCCTTTCTGAAAAAATATGGAAGATGGGTGGATTGAGGGAAGTGGGGGGGAAAAGAGGGAGGGGAGACTGAGGTAGAGATGTAAAATAAATTAATTAAAAAAAAAAGGTTCTTCAAGCAAAGTAAATGTCACCGTTATTTGAGTGAAAGCTGATGGTGGCCATGACTGCTTCTCTGAGATATGCTGTGTGACCATTACTACCACGAACCCAAGGAAAGCCATGGTGATAATTCACTCCATTTGACCTAGTGGTTAAGTACTTTAATTTTTGTTGTGGTACAATATGGAAAAGTTACTTTAAGCTGCTGTGACTACTAAAACGTAGCTCCCAAACTGGTTGCCAGTTACTCTATTGCATTTACTAACCATCTCTGCAATCTCACACTGGGTGGGCTTGTCCTGCTCTGGGAAGAGAATGGACTTGCCAGTTTGAGGGCAGGACTTGAATCCATTTATAGGAAGATGACCTTCTGAAAATCGCTCACTGTGGCAGCAAAGAAAAGTTGGCAAGAACAAAGCTTTCATAGCCTCAAACGCAGAGTGGGGGTGAGGAAAATAACTCATCAAGTCTTTGAAGCTGGGTTAGACAGCATGAATGAACTTGCAGATATTGAGAGAAACCTAGGACAGCTCATTAACATACAGTCACTGTCTCTGTACCAGTGAGGCCGGAAGCATTGCTTCCTTTACTAGCCTGGAGCTTCATCAACCTCGTGTTCACAGATGGCTTCCACACCTTCATATTCTTTCCTATCACCTGCACGCCCTGTACCCCATTTCTTCCTTTATCCATTCCTAATGAGAGGTAATACACTTTCAGTTTTTCTCTTTTCCTGAATAAGTGGCTCAGATATATATGCCCCTTTGTATTCAGTAATATCTGTGATATGCACATTGTCTCGGTGACATAGCCATTGCTCTAGTTGAAGTAAGGATTAACCCCTGAGACCTCCTCACATCAACTACCCATTCAACCAAGAAACAACACGCTGGAGTTCAGGGCTGACAGAATTGGCAACTGTCTGTGGGCCTTTAACAGTCAGGAGCCACTCCTTCTAGTCTTGGTTGAACCAAAGTGACCATCCCTAGCAGGGCCAGTTCTCCATGTCAGTCTTCAAGAATCCAATTTGTATACTACCCTGTCAAAGTGCTATAGCACTGTGGCCCGTTTGTTTATGTGCAGCTCTGAACTAGCAAAATTACATCCCCCCCCCTTTTTTTATCTAATTCACCCCGAGGGAAAACTATTTAAAAGTAATTTCCTGTGTTTGTTTGTTTGTTTTCAAGGCCTACCTCCCATCCCTTCAGCATCCAGAACAGGCTTTGCAGAATTTTCCATGAGGGAACGCATGAGGGAGAAGCTTCAGGCTGCAAGGGTAAGTAAGAGAGACAGACTCAATGTTCCCTTCAGAGCTGATTGAGGTTTTCATGGGATTGTCTTCCACATGTTGTATGCTCCAAACTGTGTAGAGCTGCGAGCCATTCAACCCCTGTTCTTCAAGTCCTAAATGTTAATATACTTCACATTGGTAGAGATGAAAATTTTGCCAGAAAATGGTGCTCATTCTTCCAAACCATTTTCCTTGCTCTGATCAGTACAGAGGGACAGCGTGTAATTGTTCTACTGACTCTTCTTTATTGAGATGGAGGCAGAGGTATTCTGATAATTCGTTATATATAATGCTTTCCCATTTGGTTTTTCAGTCCAAGGCGGAAAGCGCATTGCTGCGGGATGCCCCCACTCCTAGGCCCCGGCGCCTGCACAGTGCCAGTGAGAGGGAAACAGAGACTGAATTTGGCACAGAGGTGAGACACGGATTCTTTCTACTGTGACATGAGGTTCCTCTACTGTCTAGTCCTACTTTCCACTTCTTCACAGTGGGACAAACTACAACTAAATTCTTGGCATTGTTTATGGACTGAGTTAGCATGTGTTAACAGTGTTTTTATTAGTAACAGACACACAGTAGGTCCTCTCGGGTGGGATGTCTCTTGGTTTTCTTCCTGAACTGGATCCAGGGTCTTGTGCATGCCAGGCAAGTACTCTACCAATAGCTTACATCCTCAGCCTCCCTTATACATTCTCTATATATGAGCTATCCTTACAGGTCTCAGCCAGAAAAAATACAAATATTACAAAACCCAAAAAATATCCAAAATCTCAAACAACTCTAGTCCCAGGATGATAAGCGGCACTCAACCTATGAAAGCAGAAGGCTCAGCTCACTAATAGTCAGACCTGAGGCTCAGTAAGAAAGATGGCCCTTGAGCCCTGGGTCCTATGCTGGACTTACACTCCATCATAATTGATGCTTTTCTTTAGAGACGGGAAATGATCTTCTGTGAAATTAGTGATTTGTAGATCTACAGAATAAAACAAGCCTGTTCATTTGGAGCCCATTAAGTGTAAAGTTGCTGTTGTTTTTTTAATTTGTTTAGTCTTAACAGATCAGAGATAAGTAAGAAAACATCCAGCCTCCCCACCTTTGGCTATATCTGAAGTCTGTACACACAGCACCCTGTAGAGTGACAAGATATCTAAGATATTCAAAGACCAGAAGACAAGCTGTTAGAGGACCACTCTGGTTTCCTTTCTGATGCTGTGATAAAATCTCTGACAAAAAGCAACTTCAGGGAGAAAGAGCTTATTTAGCTTATAATTCTAAGTCATAATCCATCATTGTGGAGAAGTGAAGGCAGGAGCTTAGAACATCAGATTCACAATGAAAAATAAAGAATAAATGCACAGCTCCACGCTTGCTTGTTTGCTGTTATACTCAGCTAACCTTCATCACTCTTATATAGTTCAAGACTCCCTGCCTAGGGCATTGTGCTGTCCACAATGGACTCTGTCTTCCTACAACAATCAAGACACCCCATCCCTACACACACACACACACACACACACACACACACACACACACACACACACACATGTCCAGGTGCCAATCTGATCTAGACTCTGTAAATCATTAAAACAACTCTCTCCCAGGTGACTGATTACAGGATCTGTCAAGGTGACAACTAAGCCAGCACAAAGACTAACCTTCAATTTAGAAAACTTAGAATAACCTTCATTTCTGTCGTTTTACCCCTTTACAAAGGCAAGTAAAGAGGTAGGAAGGACTCAACAAGAAGATGACTCCCAGAGTCATTCAAGATTTAAGCTCCGTGATTCTGCACAAAAAATCAAGTCAAAACCCCAGGTTAGAAACTCTGTCTTTAAAAGTGATGTTTGTTTCTGTTTTTCAAAAAATATCTAAGCACAGATGTATATCTGTACAGCTGACCCCTCTTGTCATGCTGTGTGTTACAGCTGGGAGGGGGGAGAATGGATTTCTACTTTTAAAGTTCTGGAAGCAAGATTAGAATTCTGACTCATTGTGGGGAGGGAGGAGGACAGGGAATGATAATGCTGAGAGGTTGTTCCCCAACTTTCATGATGGGGAAGGAATGAGGGTACCAACTCAAAACCTAAAACAATAATAACTGTCACTTGTTAAAAGGATGAAGAGATCCTATACTTCTCATTATTAAACAAAACTATCTTTGCATTGGTCCATAGACCAATGAATATGTGTGTGACACCTTAATAATTTTTCCTGTAGCTCTCACTTTTGTAAATGCTATATTTTTATGCTTACTGAAATATAATTGTTCTCTCTTTTTTAAGTAGAGCTGGGGAAAGATAGCTCAACTACTGAGAACACTGGCTGCTCTTCTAGAAGATCCAGATTCAGTTTCTGGTACCCACATAACCACTCACACTTACGTTACTCCAGCTCTAAGAAATCGGATGCCCTCTTCTGGTCTCTGTGGGCACTGCATGCACATGGTGCACATACATGCAGCCAAAACACTCACACACATAAAATAATATTTTTAAAAGTAACTATGGTTACTTATTTTAAATACTCAGCAGCTGCCTGTGCACTGGTTACAATTTGTGACCTGCAATTCAGTTCATCTTCAGCGAAGACAATACAGTCAACAGGCCCCCATGAGCTGCAATAGCATCAAGCCAGCTGTCAGTTAATTGCGTGGGGTTCATTCAGTTTCCCCATCTAAGCTGCTTTCTGTCCGTTTCTCTGCAGCCCCCTCCTGGCTTCCCCACTGCAGAAGAAGCCTATAATTTCTTTACCTTCAACTTTGATCCTGAACCAGAGGAACCAGAGGGGAAAACACAAGTAAAAGGCGGAGACAGGGCTCATCCTGAGGACCAAGAAGGAGAAGGAGCATGTGCACAAGAGAGAACAAAGAAAACGGTATCTGATACAGTGATGGTGGTGAGGGGGGAGACTAGGAAGACAGAGGAGAGAGGAAAGGGCCTGAGGAGACTACACCACCCCACAGGACAGCTCACCTGTGCCTTGGCTGGCAACAGAAGAACAACTGTTCAATGAGAATTGATCTCAAATGACTTCCTGTAGCCCTTGACACAGACTGGGTAGCAAAGGCCTTGATTAAATCTGTCTGTCTTTTCTTTGGAGGGAAGAAACGAAGTAACATTGTTTGAGGGTTTTCTTGCTAGACTTCGTACCATGGTTACTCTGAATTTCACTCAGAGTACTTGGCTCCAGAAGGCAAATGCTACAGACCTGCCTCTTTCCCACAGCATTACAAGAGAGTTAAGTTTTTGTGCCAACTATCACTCCTAAGTATAAATTCTGCTATATAACTCTGAGCCTGGGTTCTTTACATAAATGTTATCAAATAAGCTTCTTCAAAGGCTGTGAGCCATTTGATTTTAGGATTACTGTTTTTGGGGTTACCACTTCTGAGTTGGCTTCTTCTGGCGTACAGTTTTCCAGGTGGGTGGAATAGCAAAAAGTCATCAATGAAAATCCACCTGTGAAATATGAAAGGACACCTTCATCTGAAAAGAAGCAAAAGGGATATAGTGTGTGTGTTTGTGTTCATGTGTGTAAATGTGGGTTGGTATTGCCACAGTCCTTGTGTGTAGGTCAGTAGCCTTCAGGTGTCTCCCATCATCTTCCACCTTTCTTGAGACAGGATCCATGTTGTCTGTCCACTGTCTGTGACAGGCTAGCTGGTCAGTGAACCTTTGGGGCTTCGGTCCATGCATCCCATCTCCCTGGGGGAGTCCTGCAATTATAGATGCTCTCATTACACACCTAGCTTTCATGTGGGCTCTAGGGACTTGAACTCAGTCCTCATGATTTTTATAGTAAGCACCTTTTCCCGCTTACCTATCTCCCTCAGCCTGGAAAATCATTAATTTTCATGGGTTCAGTATTAGTAATTCTTCTCCCAAGTCTGCTGAGAATCTTGATGTAACTTTTTCTTGTTATGTTTCAATGTTGTGTAGGAGGAAGAAGAGTTGCTTAATGGTAAGGATGCTGAGGACTTACTGTTGGGCTTAGATCCCACAGCCCATGACTTCGTGGTAGTCAGAGCCGCAGAGTATGAAAGTTCCCACATTCAGCTGCAGAAGGAAAAAGAAATCCTCTTCACACCTAGTCGGCTGACAGGTACTCATTCCTTCTTTCCGTCCTTAGCTTGGACACTGTCATTTGACTGAAAATGAAATATGCCTGCCAAAAAGACCACTATTTCCAGAGCCGATTCTAGGTTTGAATACAATTTACTAATTAAGAGCCACCTTTGGAGGCTGGGGTGATATCTCAGTGGATAAAGTGCTTGGCAACCTGGGTTTGGATCCTTGGCATCCATGTAAAAAGCCAAGTGCCGTAACACCTGCCCATAATCCCAATGCTGGGAAGTGCAAATAGTTGGATCCCAGGAGGTGGCTGGCCAGATGAGCTCTAGGTTCCAGAAGCCATTCCATCCCATCTCAAAAACGTAATGCACACACATTCACACTCACCTGAGCACACATAACACGCCTGCTCTGTGGCCAAGGAAGAGTAGGAGAACAGACTTCAGCCAGGAGCAGACTCCCTTATTCCCAGATGCCTTGGCTGAAGGAAGGAAGAAATAAAAATCACATGGAATATGACTTGGTGCATCACGGAGGAGATGATATGGGTGAATGGCGATGACCAAATCCCATAGCTCTGTCCTGGTGCTGTTGCTATTGTAGACAACCCTGGGTTTTAAAGGAACATGTGCTTACCCCAGGTGTGCAGGAAAAGCACATTTCCTAATTGACTTTTGCTAGCACAGCAGTATATCCATGATAAATAAGGATACATATATTGGGTGAACAATGAAAACTACTTTAACAAAAACTTTCAGATGCTACCAGATTAGTGCCAACCTGGCTTTTTAGTATGAGTGAATGTTTAATTGAATGAACAAATGTTTTAGATGAATGAATAATGATAAATAAGCTTTCCCCATATTTTCAGAGGACCAGAGGGGTATTTTCCAGAAGTGGGTATTTCTGGTTTGGGGGAACTGGAATATATAGGAAATACAGTTGGCCACACAAAGGAAGACAGCATGGTCAGGTACTTACTGTCATTCAGAGTGAGATAATTATGAGCTCTGTAAATACAACTCTTGGGTTTCATCCTGGCCCCACAGCCATTCTATCCTACCTTTCCTTCTGTCTTATCTAGTCCATTCTGCTGCAGTGAGCCCCACAGCCTTGACGGATCTCAACTCTGCTAGAGTCTTTCCCCAGCACAGAGCCCCAAACTCCTTCCTATGATCTGAATAGTCCCCTTGTTCTTCCCTGCTACCCTGTGCCCCATCGTCTGCACCATGGCATTCTGTTTGTTTCCAACTATGCACAGCCTTGAGTACAGTGATACCTGGCTGAAGGGTGAGGATGCATTCTGAGAAAGGTTACTCGGTGAATTTATGGTTGTGAACATCACTCTGTGTACTTATGAAAACCAGGTGCTATAGTCTCATGTCCATCTGGGTTGTCTTGTATAGCCCATGGCTCCTAAGGAAGACCTGCATAGCATGTCAACGTGCTGGCATGTCAACGTGCTGGTATTGTAGGGACTCAAGGCTAAGTGCAAGGATGTCTGTAAGGGAATGCTTTGAGTTTCACTGTAATCTCATATGGCTGTGGGTAAAACGTCCATGTGACTGGCTGCACGTGCCCTTCCCTTGCAGGGTGAACCCTCCTGCAGAGCACATCTACCTCCCAACATTACGGTGGCAAGGTGTCTGCAGACTCCTTCTTGTATCTTGAGTTCATGCCTCCCCTCCCAACGTCTCTGTCAACCCCGTGTCTCGTCATCAGATGTCACTCTCTAGTAGAATCCTATCGACCTTGCCTCCTGTCGCTGCCTTTCGCTTCCACTGACACCTAAATGACTCCACACAGCATCATCCTGGCCTGGGGCCCTGAGTCACACGAGCATCTGTCACTAGGAGGCTCTCCTCGAAAATCTGATTTTTATGAATGAAAAAGAAAGACAGGGTGCACCGATAATCCAGGTCACTATCACTTCACCCAGAGAGACTTCTCGTTTTCAGTGCTGGCCGTCATCCCCAGGTCCTTGCACAAGTCGGCCCCAATATCTACACTGACTGCATTCCCAGGTCGTGAGGTCATAATATTTTCAGTTTGCAAAGCATTTCCTTGTATTTGACATTATCTAATCCTCCCAGGAACCCAGTAAAGGAAAAAAACTGTTAGTTCTTACACAAAAGAAAAGAGCTCCAAGTGTCTGGCCTAAACTTACCAGGCTAAAAAATCAATAACTCAAACTCCCATACCCTAGCCCTTGGCTCTGAAAATATGTTCTTCCCAGAACACCCCACTGCCAAGCCTGGTCCTGAATCACTTAGGTGCCGTGTCTTAAGTACACAAGTCTATATGATATTGCAAATGAACACATTCATCTTTTCCTTGGTTCTGCTTCTAGAAATTAATTTCAAAAATGTGTTTTTTTCTATAAGTGAAATCTCTGACACCTACTGCAATTCCCCAAATGGCAGTTCATAGGGTGAGGCTGGCGCTCATGTCTGTTGTGTTTCTTCGTGAACTACCTAGTGCCGACCTATAAGAAGCTTCCTGAGAATGTGCAGCCTAGATTCCTGGAAGATGAAGGTCTCTACATCGGGGCAAGGCCAGAGGTGGCACGCACCAATGAGAACATCATGGAGAACAGATTGCTGATACAGGAGCCTGTGAGTGGGGATCCCCAGAGGGGCCTGGCACCTGGAACCATCTGCTGGACTCTTCCTCTGTAGTGTTTGTCAAGAGAAACTCGTTCTTTCTGGTTTTGTTTTTTCCTTTGTCTTTCAGTACATTCTGAGACACCCCTCCCTCAAAACAACACCACCTCTCCACTGCTCAGAGCACATCTCTGCCGACATTTTCCCAAGTCCCAAAAGTTTTTAATCGTCAGCATAGAAAATGATCTCAATTCTGGACTTTTCCCCTTAAATCTTGAACAAAGAGAACATAAGATTCTTGTTAAGCATTCAATTGCTTGTTTTTCCCCCCTTGGTTTTTTGAGACAGGGTTTCTCTGTGTAACCTTGGCTGTCCTGAAATTCTCTCTGCAGACCAGGCTGGTCTCAAAATCCTTGTCCTGCCTCTGCCTCCTGAGTACTAGAATTAAAGACATGTATCACTATGCCTGACCAATTTACTTGTCTTAAATGTAACTTAATTGTGGGGGGGGTCTTAGTAAAGAATCAATTTCATAGACAACAAAAACTTTTTAGAGTTCTTTTAGGGTCCAAGGTGACACATGAAATACATAACTGAAATAAAAATTGTATACAAATGTTTCACAAGATGTTTTCTACCCAAATATAAAGGAATATAGTAATTCTCTCTGCTTACCCACAGGGGAGGAAGTGGTTTGGAGATGACGGCAGAATCCTAGCATTGCCCAGCCCCATCAAGCCATTTCCCTCAAGGCCATCGCTGTCCACACAGGAGCAAAGCACCAAGGCTGAATTGGAGACTTTGTACAAGAAGGTATGCATGCCCTCTTTGGTTTAACCCCTTGTTAATGCGTGAAACTGAAGTTACCCAACATTCCCCTTAGGTTTTTTAAAATAAGTCATCACCTCACACAGGAAGCCCAAGCAGCAATTGTATAAGTGAGTCTAAGTCTGCCCACCTGATCCTAACTCACACAGGCATGAGTGTCCTGACTAGGAAGGGCTCTGTGATTATCTTTATTTGCATAATCAAGGTAGCTGCTGAATTATAAAATTGAAGGAGGTAGTTTAGGAAACAGAGCCAAAGACTGGGACTTGGTCTGGGTGCTGGGAGAGTCTCTCCCGCCCTCTTTCCTCTGCTTCTTGTCTTTGGTAGACAGAATAGGATTCCCCATGTTTCGAGGTGGAGTGGGAACAATGGCCCTTCATGGCCTAGCTAGACAGATCCAGAGAAAAGGGGTGATACTTTCCCCACATCTCACTCTAGCAGTACTAAGGACAAATGCCAGTCCATTGTAAATGAATCCCACCCAGCTCATAGTCCAGGTGGTATGGCTTGGTCCTTGAAAAGGAAAATGAGGATGGTCTCCAGAAAGACCAGGAAGGAAAGATCTGGGATCTACCTGAGGCTGTGCACTTGGACTTTGTTATTATTTTCTCAGGACTATATAGAAACTTATTTTTAATTCTGTCAATGTACTATATATACATATATAATATATTTTAATTTCTTTTTTTTAGCTTCTACTTAGAATACCAGCAGATTACCCACTAACATCTCTTCTTAGAGCCTTGCTCTTTAGTTTTCAAATGAAGAATTGTGTCAACTTCACAACTTGAAATACACTCTGAAAATACTCTCTCCTTAGTGGAAATTGTTGCTATTTCTTTCATGATAACTCTCAGTCTATAAGAAATATAGCAGATGGAAGAAGACAAGATCCAAGATTCTTTCTTCCTAATACAGTGAGGGTTAGGGATTCCGAATGGCTGAACTAAAGCAGAGAGATCAGCAGGGGTTACTGGAACATGAGCTCATCCCAAATTGGGAAAGGAATGAGTGGTAAAGGTGCCCCGGGCAACATTGCAAGTCCATAACAACACTCTACACAGGCCCCTACTCCTCCCGAGAATACAGGCTGGAACCTGAGAGCCACACCCTGAGTGGCTATAACTCTGGAAACTCCCATGGAGAGGGAACAGCGAGACAGAACTAGCACCAGAGAGGGAACTCCCATCACTCTGTGATTGACATTTAGTTGTGCATGTCTTACTATAGTGAATTTACTTTAATTAATTCAGGTTTTCTTAGTGGTCATAAGACTATGTGAATTTAATTGCCACTTCTCGGTTCCGTGTATTTCTCCAGGTTAGTAGATTGTTAATGCAGCAGACACTGACTGGTCAGGAGGTATTGTTCTAAGAATAGTCGCTCAATTGTTTTGCAGGAAGGAGCTTTAGAAGCTATTTGTGTTAACTGGAAAATTTATTTGAAAGTTATGAGGCTAAATGAATGTTGTAAAACCTCAAGGCAGAACTGATGCCCCTATCCTGTATTGCCTGTGGGCAACAGGATCAGTACTCTCTGCATTTAATGTCTCAGGGATGCCAGATTCGGGCCAGAAGCATTGGACTCATCCCAGCTCTATCCTGAACTTGCTTTGGGACCTTGGGCAAACTGCTGTGTGTCTCTGGGTCTCTGTATCTTCATCTGTAGAAATGGTTGACTGAGGAGAAATGTTTAGATGCCAACTGTCAATCACGTAGAGCCTTGCAGTACTTTGCATGCATCATCCTCTTTATTCAACAAAGATTCATGGGTGTCTGAGATCCAGTGAAACCCAGCATCAAGCAGCAGCCGATTTAGAGGGAAAGAAAGCCCTTGCCTGACAGGCTTGGAATGTGCAGAAGAGGGGATTCTGGCATTAGAGCACAGTTGTAATGTTATTCCATAGTTGACTAAGACAAGGGATCTTTACGCTGTGTGGGTGCTGCTTCTGTGTGTATGTGTATGTGTGCTGCATCTTGTGTATCTCTGTGTGTAAGTGTATGCATGTTTGTTGTGTATGTGCTGTGTGTCTGTGTGATATGAGTTGTGTGCGTAGAAACATGTCTCATTTGTTTAGTGGAGTCTCTGACTCTGCAGTTATAAATTCCTATATTTGCACTTCTGGTGAAGCATGCTCATATGAGGCTTCATTTGCTGGTAAGATTATTGTGTTCTTGCTTCTTTGTATTGGAATTCAAAGAAATAATATATAAGTCTATTTCATTTTACCCAGGCAATTCTACACTTTTTTCCTAGATGAGCAGGCTATGGTGTACGTTTAAGATTTGTGGCTTCTTATGAGACTTAATATAGCGTGTCCTTATTTAACTCTAAAACATCTAGATTCTCCTTTAAAATGACATTCGTGTATCTTTAGTGAGAAGCCCTCTAAACCTTATTTATTTTTGACAATTTCAAACATGCGAGCAATGCACTGTGTTCATATTTATCCCAGTTACACTGTCTTATCCCACTCCTGAAAGCCCCTTCTTCTCCCACCTAGTCCCCTTCCTTCTTTCATCAGACCTTTTATTTTTAACATCCTTATAAAAATGATTATGTGTTGCCGGGCAGTGGTGGCGCACGCCTTTAATCCCAGCACTCGGGAGGCAGAGACAGGCGGATCGCTGTGAGTTCGAGGCTGGGCTGGACCGACAGCCTCCAAAACAATACAGAGAAACCCTGTCTCGTAAACAACCAAAAAAAATGATTATGTGTCTTAAAATATCATAATCTTGAAAAGAAGTATATTAGCTTAGTACCTTTCAAAATACACTTTATTTCCCAAATCTACATTAGCCTCTGTTCTAATAACTGCTGGTGGTTCCTGCCGTAAGTTCAGGTTCAGTCCAACCAAGTTTGGAAAGTATCCACACACGTAGTAGAACTGAATCTCAAAGATGCCACTTCTCTTCCTACTAGAGAGGAAGACCCCATCCCCTGCCTTTTGCCTGTTTTCTGTTGTGGTTTGTATATTAACTGTACCACATAAAGGGCTGATGTGTCCATGGTGGGATGCTAACTTCACTAACTTGCTTTAAGAGTTTCTAGAAACCATAATGTCTCTGAGGCTGCATATCTTCACCTGCAGAAACAAGAAGCTAAGGGAGACTTAATTGATTTAATTTGTCAATTGCTAGACATACTCCCAAGACCCTCAAATGCATCACCTCATTTATTCAACAACAGTGAAGAAACCAGAGCTCACCTCTGCAGAAAGCACTGGGTACTCTTTCTGAAAGAAGTACGCCCTGGCGGCAGTCTGTCACTAACCAAAGAGAGTATAAGCTGGATGCTCACCAGCTTCAATAACCAGTGGTGATTGGTGGGAAATATCTTGGAGAGGTTCTAGAAGGAAAACAGTCTAATCTGATTCACTATACACCAAGGAATTCCCTGGCTGTTTTCTGTACAGTGGGCTCAGCGTCCCCCCACCCCTCTTCCTATATTATTTTACATGGCTATAACTCTTAAAGTCTTAGTTACAAGAGAAGGGGCATTGGTGTTCCAATAAGCCAATGATGATTGGTTAGCAATGGACCCTACACTTCTCACATTAGAAAATATTTTCAAGGTCATCAGCTGCAGAACCCAAGATTTCAAGAAACAGGGAAGTCCACATGAAAAAGATCCATAGTTTGTATCTGATGGCCTTTCCTTCAAGGACAAGAGTGTACTGTGCTTTGAACTTACCATTTGCTCTCTTTGGCAGGCGGTGAAGTATGTCCACAGTAAACAGCATATGATTGGATCTGGAGACCCTCCGGGAAATTTCCAACTAGACATCGATATTTTGGGGTTAATCTTCTCTCACCATCCCTGTTTTAGCCGAGAGCATGTTTTGGCATCCAAGCTGGCGCAGTTGTATGACCAGTACCTTGCAAGACAGCAAAGAAACAAAACAAAATTTCTCACAGATAAGGTACTTGTGTTTTCCATGCTTCTTGTCAATGGGGCAGCTTACTCTGAATAATCTAGTGAGGATACTTCTAAAATCAAATGTTTCTGTCCCTATTTCACATGTTCTCCTTGTCCAGGATGTATGACACCGTCCTACCTAGAGACAAAAGGAAGGTGTCTTTTTACTTCCTGTTGCTGTGATAAAATGCCCAGACAAAAGCAACTTGAAGAAGAAAGGGCTAATTTGGACTCAGTTCAAGATACAGTAAGGAAGTTAAGGTAGCAGAAGCTTGAAGCAACTCATCGTATCTGTTATCCAGAACAGAGAGTAACAAATGCATACTGGCTAGTGCTCAGCTATTTCTCCATTTTATATGGTCCAGGATCTCTGCCTAAGGAATGGTGTTGCCCACAGTAGGTGGGTCTTCCCATCCCAATTAGCTCCATCAAGAGAATCCCTCACACACATGCCCAGATGCCAACACATGATTCCAGAGCTTATCAAAATTGGGATTAAGTATTATAGGAGAGCATGGATGGTATACAGTCAAGGAGCCCAAATTCTGCAGCACACATTTGCCTTAAAGAGGAAGGTTTGTGTGTGCTACCAGTGAATCCACCAATGAGGAGGGCACACCCTGAGATTCACAGTTATTACTTGATGAAGTGATCTTGGATCCTGAGACTGTTGATGCTTTGAGAATATGTCTGTCCTCAGAAACATTCTCATTTTTATGTAGGTGTCACCACAGTGTAGCACTCAAAACAGGCCAGCTGCTTCAGCTGGTGCAGAGGAATGGCTACCCTTTGGATTATTAGTGTGAGACTATCGCATGGGACTTCAACTGGCAATTATGGCTTCAGAGAATTTTAGACTCCTACCCCGATCTTAGGTCTGTGTAACAAGCTACCCTATAATACCACCTCTAGCATTGTGATTTCTTCTTATCAAAAGAATACTATTGTGCATTAAGAATAGCCCAGTGTTATCTCTGAAAAGAAATGTGTTTCTGAGACACTCAGTAACATTTCTAATGAACATCTGAATTATCTGGGTCCAGAGCAAAGATGGATAAACACTGTCCCATAGAATTCCAGATTCATAAAAAACATGCAGTGATTCTTTGTGAGAGTTGGTTTTGGGGTTTCGGTGGAGCCTTGAGTCCACACAGAAGTGCTCTCACCATCCCTCAGGATTACAGGGTTTCCAACATAAAACTTCTGCCCCTATCTTATTAAGCTTCAAGCATTAAGAAAAGCTGTTCAGACCGGACTTAACCCAGAGAAACCTCATCAGTCTCTCGACACAACCCAGAAAACCATCAATGAATATAAATCGGAAATTCGGTGAGTAAAGGTTTCAAGGACTCCCCTTGTTCACCATTAGATGTGTATTTACAGTTCATATTTACAGACTTTTTAAAAAATGCATGCAATTCATGTGGATTTCTGCCAAATGAAACAATGATAGTAGTGATCTAATATATAAATGTAGAATTCAAAGGAGCAAGGATTGAAGAAAGTTTAGCAGTCTGAACTGTTGGCTATATATAGATTCTGGGAGAGGAAGGAATCACTGTCTCTGGTTGTGTGCCCACAGATGAAGCCACCAGGCTCCAACAGATAGCTCCAATCCCACAGTCACACCGATGGCCCTGGTTGATCTCACATAGTCACAAACATGATTTGTGGGAAGGGTACAGAGTGGACAGTGGAGGTAGGGAAGTAAAGGGGGTAAGAATAAAAAGTGTATGTATGTGAAATTATAAAATAGGTCTAGCACAAAAAGGTGCCCACCAGCTGGAATCCAAAGTTTCATGAGTGTGTGCTCTAGGGAGCCACATGCCTATGTCACAGTGAGACATATGCCAGGATGCATGCAGCTTCATTCACAAAAGTGAGATTTAGAAATAACCCAATGCCACCAGGATCACATCTGTGCAGACACAGACATCTGCCCTACAGTTTAATATGGATGAGCCTGATAGCAGGCTCCCACATGGGCGAATCTGCAAAACAGCATGGAATGATAGCCCCACCAGCTGTTTTCTGTATGGTGTGGTTCACAAAGCAGTAAGAGCACATGAACAATACTCACTTGTCATGGGTAATACATCTGAACTGCAGACAGGTACACACCCCATTCTTTGTTCAGAGGGTGGGGAGGATGTAAGGTTGAAGAGAGCATCTTCAGTTGTAATCATAACATTTCATTAAAAAAATATCGTGAATAGCTGAGATGCAGTATCAGTGGGCAGCATCATGTTCATTATCTATATTTTTCTGTTCCTTTGACTTATTCGTAATTTTAAAATCCAAAACATAAAGCCCTAAATATTGATTCTAAATGAGGAAATACAGGATATGAAATTCCTATCCACTCAGAGAAAGGCCTGGCGAGTAGTTTCTTGATGGTTCTGTGGGTGTTTACACATGGGTGTCTGTGTGCACGTGTTTTATTGTTTGAGAATCCTTGAATATTCTATCTCTCACCCAATTTTTCTATGTACCCTGCATCTTCACCCTTTCCCTCTCGCTGCACATCTAAGCCTCTATTGTACTAAGGCCACCATTTATTATAATAGATACACTGCAGAGTGTGAAGTCTCCAGTGGCAGGCATCACTCAGATAATATTTAAATTGTGCAATAGTTAAAATCCCTAAATCTGTGTATTAGTGTGTGGGTATTTCTACAGAACAAATTCTTAGAATAGAAAATAATAAATCTTAGAGTTTCAATGTATGTTTTTCTTTCTCCAATCTAGGCATGAATTGGAAATTCTTCTCGCAAAGTGGGAATTAGTACAGTTTATATACTGGAAAAGAATGAAAAGTATGCTTAAAATGGAAAGTATTATTGTTATAGCTATGTTGGGTGTTTGGCAAAGCCTTACTCATTATATAGACATGCCTGGTCTCAAAATTGTGGCAGTCCTCCTGCCTCAGCCTGTCAAATGCTGAAGATACAGGCATATAGATTCTTCTAAAACTTACTGTATTTAAAACATCATAGCTTCTACATGAGAATCATTTTAGTTTTAGTGTAGAGTGAGTATGAAGACAGTGACAGGCTTGAGAGAAACAGAAATGGAGAAAGAGGAGGGAGAAAAAGAAGAGGAAGGAGACAGACATATGGAGGGGTGGGGAAGAGAAAGCTTAGGAGAAACATGATAAAGCTGTCTTCAAAACAATCATGGTTTTCCCAGAACTGTACAATAAATTACTCTGAAAAACAGCTGACTTTTGTGTGAGGCAGACTCCCAGCCACAGCCACTAGAGTTACCCCACAGCCATTAGAGATGAAAACTTCTGAGTATCAGCATAAATGGTGCAGTAAAAGAAGGGGTTCAGGCCCTCCTTGAGTTTTCACTAACTAACCTTGTGTAGATGGCCTATTCTAGGATAGCGTATTGCGTGGGCCCTTTCCTTAACCCCCTGAAACCAGCTGGTCATCTCTAACTCCCCTGTGACTTCCCAGCCTGACATCTGCTGAGCCCTGGGTTGGTACACTTGACCTGGAATGAATGACACCAATTTGAAACATTTTCCTACATGACTTTTTAAAGCAATGTTGTGACTTTGTTGATGACCCCCTAAACAAGTGTCAGAAAGTATAAGGCCCGGATCATGGATGCCATATTTTGCTAAGGCATGAATCATGGATGCCATGTGTTGCAGGGAAGTCTCTACCGGGGCTTCACATTAGATGTCCGCCCTCTTGAGTGAATAATAATTCAAGGACTACAGGTTCCATCCATCTATGACCAAACATCCATACCATCTCTACTTGTTACCCTGTCCTTCACTCACTCACCCTGCCTCTGAGGCAGATTTTACTGCAGCCAGCCCCTGAGACCTCTGCAGCTCTCTCAGCTCATCGAAACTGATGCTCAGTCCCACATACATTGCCTATTTAGAAATCTCTTCAGTGATGATATAGTTGTCCTTCTTACTGTCCTTGGTCCATTCTACTTCCTCCGCCTAGCTAATGAAACTGCAAAATGTCTCAGGTGCTGTTGTCTTAGCCATTTAAAACCTGCATTCTCTCCTAAAAGGCATCCTGTCACATAGAGGCCAGTGGCTCTGAAAGTCTTCTCAGTGCTGGGTACCCTGTCCACACTGCAGACCTGCTCACCTATGCAAGATGCAGATGTACTACCCCGTGCCTGACTCAACAATCACCCTTCTCTCTTCCACAGCTCTATCACCATTTCTAACTAAATGTTCTTCTGGGATTCTTTGCTTATTTAACTCATGTGGCAATTATTTTTGTTGTTGGGAAATGTTTTCAGTATCTCTGAGAAATTGTTTTGTTGGGAACTGCAAAAGGAAGCAGAAAAAAATCTGAAGGTGTTACATAACTCAGTAAACTAAACTGATATTTCAGTTTTAAAAAAAATAAAGAAAAGGTAGTAGCAGGTAATGGGATAAAGGAAGATCAGACCTTTAACAATGACAGTCCTCTGTGGAATGGTGGCCAGGCTAGGGTCCACATACACCACATGTGTTAACTTATCATCCCAGAAAGCCTGCAAAGTGAGCTCTGTTAGCACACCTATTTTACAGGTGAGCATGGAGAAGTGACATAGTTCGTCCAAGGCCGACTAGTAAATGCCAAAGCCAGCATGCGCAGCAGGCTGTCACTCTCCTGCTTTCACAGGACATCAGAGACCTCTGAGTCTTGGCTCTCTGATAGTAGCTATCATGCCTTGCCACCCCCTTTCCACCGCTACCCGATGAACAGCTAGGCAGCTAGACCCCCTTACTTCTCTATACTGTATCTACAGCCCAAGTGGTTCCAAGTAGAACCATCATTCCCTGGCCTGCCCACAGCCAGGAGATGCTAATTTCTTCAGTGCTTGCTCCCTAGGCTTCTCAGGATGTTCTCATAGGTACACCCACGTTATGGCAAGGTATCATCACTCACCTGTA